TGGAATGTAGTCATTCAACTCTGCCTGACAAGCTCCCTGACTCCATTCCCTTCTGTTCTGTATTAAATTTTACTGCCTGTCCATTTAATCTAGCTAGGCACTTTAAAAACAATGTTTCAGAAGATGTCTTCTAGAAATCATCTTCTTTCACCTCAGTTTATAGGACAGTTCAATCCTGCAAAGATTTTTGTCTAAAATCTTTTTGGTACAACAGCTCTTTGTGTCAATTACTTTTTTTTTTATTATTATTATTTTTTTTTAATTTCACTATTTTCACAGTTTGACTCAGGTCTGACAACAATGCTCTCAATCCCCTCCCCCTCCCACCCAGGTAGGGAAGGAGAGAGAGAAAAAGGGAGAGACTTGGCTGGATTGAAAACTAAACTACACAGCTTTAATTAAAACACTAATGAATCATACAAGAAAATATATACAATTATATACAGATATATTAAGTTATGGGCAAAAGCCTCTCGCCTCCCCCCACCCCAGCAACTCCCACAGCACTTCCCTGAACTGGGAAGAGTCCCGAGGAATCCCAGAGCTGCTGCTGGAGAAAGCACAGAGTGATGAGGGTTATGAGAGCTCGAGACGGATGAACAGAGTCCTCCCTGGACGCCGGCCATGGACGGAAGGGAAGGGGAGAAGAAGAAGGAAGGAAGTTGTCTTCTGTGTTCTCTGACCTTCCTCTGAGCTTACGTAGATATATGGAATGGAATATCTTTGGCCAATTTTGCTGTCTGTCTAACTCAGCCTCCTACGGGGGGGTCACAGATCTCCCCATAGTGTCTAAGCCGGCAGAGTGCAGGTGCGGCCTTGAAGCCTCAGTAGTTAGAAAAACATTCCACTGTCTTATCAGCCTAGCAGAACACACTGTTGCTAGTTACAAGAAAGCTTACTGAAGGAAAAAAAACAGTAAAAAGAAAAATTGGCTTCATCCTGGCTCAAACCAGGACAGCTATGAAAAATGTATTTTCAACCTTGTTTATGCTTTTTAATGTTATTTCATTTTCTCATTGACTTTGATACTAAATATTTCAATGTCTTAATACCTGTATTAATAATTATGAAGATATCTTGCATCTGAATGAAAGTAGATGACAGATTGTCTCCTTCCCTTCTTGGAGGTTATTAACTGAGGGATTTTTCAGTGTGTTATACATTTATTTGTATGTGTATACAAGTACAGAGTTACATAAAGCAGTAAAATATTGGTGTATGCATGTTGAATTTAACAGGCAAAGTGCAAGGTTGGAAAAAATTCACCTGTAAAAACCTTCTTTTAAAATGTCATTCATCTCACTTGAATACAAACTTAGACTCCTTTTCAGCCTCTCCTGACTCTGAGTAGTTGAAATAATATCCTGTAATTACTGTATTACTTGAGAAAGAAAAGGGTGGGCATTTGGATAATCTAGTGTATGCCATTGTGAGACGCAGGACTTCAGCATGCAGAGATAATCTGTAGAAGCTGTTAATCAAATCTTGACGCAAAGGCTGTGATTCCGACTCTGCTTTTCTTGAAGTTATCAGTGTGAAAGTTTTGCCATCACTAATTCTCATCATCTGGGAGGGCTGCTTATTGACATTAGAATAAATTCTTTCCCAGCACCAACACAGTGGAAGCAGTAGGCTCCTGCCAACAGGAACAGCTCCATGTTGCTTCTCTGACCATTCCGTCTCAGCAAGGAGAAATATTTCTTTTTTCTATTTTAGCTTTAAGCTATTTTGCATAAATACCCAATCAGTACTTAGAAACTATGGGAGAAATTTATCTCACCTAACATTATTTATATTCTAAGTTTGACATTAGATCTATAGTTCAAACTAATCATACACTCTCTGTGTTGTTAACAGAGAGAAATGGCAGCTCCACAGGGTAATTTATTCCATGTTATGAGTCCCACATCTGTTCCAGAGTCACTCATGTATGAAGTGCCTTCATATCTCTGCTGATCATTATAAACTAGCTGACTAGTTTTGACTAGATTCACACTATAGAATAAATGTGTGGCATTTTTAGCCTCCCTGTGAAAGTGTTAAGTATTTCTCTAATTTAGACAGAAGTAATTTGGATTTATTGCTGGTAAATTTATCATTTTCTTGCAACGTTCAGTTAGAATTTTTGTTTTCCCAGGAAAAAATGAAATACATTTTTGTACTTTGCCTGTTAAATATTTCTGTTAGTAAAAAGACAGTTTCCTACCATCTGCCTGCCACTGATGCATGTCAGTCTTCATATTCAAAGTCCAATGTGAAAGAACAGTCATATATTTTTTCCCTCTTCAGTAATTACATATTTACTGAGTTTAAAGATATCCATAAGTTTTTTCCACTCAATTATTATATACTACATAATAATGTCTTTACAATGTTTTATGCTTGGGTCTCTGCAGTCATGTTTCTGCAAAGTATCTATCTAAACTTCACTTTATACAACCAATAATAAACATGAAATTTTATTATGTATCTACATTTTCTAACATTCTATTTCCAAATTATCACACCAATTATCACCAATATTTTCCTCTGCTTTCTTTTATATTTGTTGCCTAAAGCTGCCTCAGTCAAAAAGAGTCCCTCATGAAAGTTGAAGAGAGGACAGACACAGCGTGATTTAATCTTTGTGTCCAGTCACTCTCCATGTCATTTACTTCAGAACATGTACAGTACCCATGTGGGAGTGTGTAGTAGTTTTATCCAAGGAGAAATTCAATTAAAGTTTTAATGATACTGAAGGAAGTAATAATTCTGTAGGGTTTAAGTGTGCGTAATCAGCACAGTCCAGGCAGTTTAGTTTGGGTTATGTCTTATCTTACTGTATTATGTTTCCAGGTCTAAAAATTAGACACTATACAAAAGTTTTACCATTCTAGTTTCTCCTTTTTGTTCATTCTTAATTTATTAACAGTGGAAGATGAAATAATTGCATTAATGGAAGTATTTGCTCATTGACTGAAAGCCTGAGCAGACAGAAGCTTATGACAGTGGATAATGTCATGAAATGGAGCATAGATGAAAACTGGCTTTTGTGTCCATTATTTGAATGTATGAACCATTTAATGAATTAGGTTCATATTTGCTGCAAGTTTGGAATTTTGATTGTGCCTAATTTTCCTTTTTCCGGATGATTTTTTTTAGAATTGCAGAGACAGCTTCTTGACACATATTTTTCAAACTAAGCCACAAAATTCTAAGTCAAGACTTACTATTTCCACATGGAAGATGTCCCTAAGTTAATCTTTCAAGATTGTCTCAAGGTGGACATGCCATGAGGGATTGAGAGTTGCGTAGATGGGAGGGAAGGGAAATAACCTGTTTCTGCAGACCTTAACTTCTGAAGGTTGGAAAAAGCCCTGTCTGAAAGTTGTTCCTGTTTCAACAGACCTGTGTCATCCATCATTATTCAATGTAAAGTTTGTTTCCTACATTATGCTTAAAAAAATTAAGAAACATCATTAAATGCTGAGTGCAATCCATTCTTGTATGCAGTGCTCTCTGGCATATTTTGCCTGTTATCTGACTTGTAGTCCTCAACTGCTGTAAAAGTTGTGCCAGCAGTGACAATGCCTCTTCTTCCATGTAGGTCGCACAGTGTAAAAAGACTTTAAGTGTTTTCTTAGGATTTTATATTAGGTTTGGGTTTTCTTTTATTAAAGCATGTTTTTGAAGGCTTGAGTATGGCAGAAAGAAAAGATAGACACATCAGTGATGCTTTGGGAGCAATCACTGCTTCTCATTTATCAGCCATCAGCTTTTTCTTCACGAACCTTTCTGTCTCTTAAGAGATGTGTTTGCCTGATGGTCTTGATTCCTGGAATGATGTAGTTTACATGCTGTTCCCTCCTTAGACCTGAAGTAACCTGACCTGTGGTTAGGTGTTTTTAGCTGACACAAGGCACACTAACACCATTGCAATGCTATTATATTGTATTTTTTCTCTAAAAAAAAAATAATAAAAAAATCTTGAGTATTGTGAGTTGTCATTTCAAAAGTTCACAAATCAACTGCTAAAGGAAATCAGATTAATTTTGTGTAACTGCCATTTAAGATCAGATCTTAAATGCACAAAGACCTCTAAAACCAACAATTCTTGGAATGAGCAGGGAATATAGTTAGACAAACACTTTGTGCAATTGGAAGGGGAAGATTCTGTATATTTTCATTTTGATAATTATACACTATGAAACACTGAACAAGACAGGAACTTAAAGTTATTTGTAGATATAACTTAAATGTAGTCCTTAACGTTAGCAAAAAGTAATTATAATAATAATTATAGGCTCTATTCCATGCAAGTGTGAATGTGCAGCTGTGTGTATATCCTCTCTTAGAGATAATTATAAAATCTTTGTGAAAAATTACAGTAAAGAATTGAACTAATATATGTTCTGGTGAGGCTGTAAAAATGTAGCCTAAAGGGCATTTGTTAACTTTGTTTTTAAAGTTTTTGCTTTTGCTTTGAAATTGTTTGTTTTGTTATGCACCAGATTTGTATGAGGGGTTTTTAAACTAAAATATGCATTCATTTTAATATTATACAGTTAAAAATATTTTAAATGTATTAATTTTAAGCACAAGATGGGTTTTTATAAATTCTGAAACTTTTTCCAATGTTGTTTATAAAATGGAAAATGCCAGTTGTTGAAATAGTTGATTACAAAGAAGACAATTTCTATCAATATGATTTATTAGCATTTTGCATGTAATTTTCATTGTTCACAGCAAGCAAGTTTCACACAGGTATTTCTATTAACTTTTCTTCAATAAACTGTTTGCCATTGCTTGTATTTTGACACAGGCACAGACATGGGAGGTAGTTGCTCCTCTCACTTTGTGGTAAATACAGGTGTGTGCACACTCGACTGAAATTACACTTGAAACTAATCATCCATGGAGCCATAAAACCTGAGACTGAAAAGAGCTGTTGACTCTTTTGAAAGACTTTTGTTGACTCTTGAAAATGTTGTAATTTACTTCTTATTTTATTTTATTTACAGATTGCCTTCTCACAGCACAACACTATCATGGATCTGGTGCAGTTCTTTGTCACCTTCTTCAGGTAAATTGCTTTTTCTGTCTTCTGATTGAAATCATACTGATTCTTTTCTTTCAAACCAATAGCTTTCCCAGCTCCTTAATCTTAAGAAATGCCAGCAAGGAAGCCTTTAACCTGTGTTCACCAATTTGCACCAGGGGAGGATCCAGGCCATTGCCCTGTTGGCATATTCCATGTATTTAGTGGTACAGTCTTCACACTTACTTAATAAAGATAAGCCATATGGGTATTGGATATTACAGTGATTAAGGGAAACAAGTTATGTTGACTTAAACTCCAGTACTTCATGCCTGTGAATTCTTTGTAAACTCTTTGAAAGAATTATTATAAATAATGATTGTCTTCAGTGGCTTATTAATGGTATTTTTAATAAAGCACCCCAAGCTGCTACTAATGATCTCATGAGTTAGAGATTAGTTATTAAAGAGCAGGTAATGCATGAGGTTTGGTTGTGGCAGCAATGCAGGTATTGGCTTCACCTGCTAATGGACTGTTCTAGGATCTGAACAAAACTTTGCTGGAAGACTTCTTCAAAGTTCAGCTGTCTTATAAAATGTCACAAACTTGAATATACATGGATTAGTTACAGTGCTTGGAGATTTTGTTGTGAATACATTCTCCAATAACCATGAAGTGTGTGCAAAATATGAACAGTGGCAGACAAGTATCTTCATCAGACTTCCTGTATTTCTAGAATTATAGCATTTTCTTCACAAGTTCACAGTGGAACTTTTATGTCCATTTTAATCACTGTGCTATGAGGAACTGCATTTAAAGAATCAGACCCCTAGATGCCCTTAACAGACCAACTTTTTAAAATTCCATTCACCCAAAAGAGATAGAAATGAGCAGACCCTAAAGTCTTTTGTACCCAGTGCATCAGCTAGTAAAGGTAGGTTTAGTGCCTGATGCCAAACATCCCATTTCTCCTCTTTCTCTATAGACAGCAATAAAGTACTGGTTACCTAATGGTCGGTTTAGTAGTGTTTGGTGTTTTTGCAATTTGCTTGGTTTTGGATATTTTTTGGGGGGAAGCCAGCAAGATCTAAAAAATGATGCTGATGCAAACCTGAAGACAAACTCCTATAGAAGAAAGGAAAGTCAGAAAGCATGATAGAACAGAGGGGCCCTATGACAAATAGCAGGGGTAGACTAAAAGCATTTTATTTCTGCTCTGTGCCCTCATGGTGACTTAGAGAACAGAAGTTACACACTTTTTGATGAGGAAACCATCTGTGTAGATATATTGTTAGCTCTCCTAGTGTGATGGCCTGTCTGCCATGGTTTGGTCTGGGTAAATGCAAACTCCCCATGATCCTGGTGAAAATGCATAATTTGACCCTCAGTAAATGCTTGACCTACCAAGATACTGTTGTACACCCCAGGACAGAAAAGTTATCATAATAAAATTTCTTTCTCAAAAATAAGTGGAATATTACAGAAACTGTAGTGCTTTGGACCATGCTGGAAAAAAAAACAACAACAAATACCCTACTTAATTTCCTTCTTTTTATACTTGAATGTTTCATTGTATCTATTGCTTCAGTAACCTTTTCTCTAAGACTAGAAATGCAATCAGATGTGTAAGAGTAGTAGCAGATTCCTAACAGTCATATAGAAACTGTGGCTTCTGTGTGGCTTTAGTGCTGTTTAACTGGTGCCTTGAAGACTTTTAGCCATCACACAAATTGAGAAGTGTGTGACTTTTTTTTTTCCCCACCTGCTTTGAAGCAGTTCAGATCTCATTAGAAAATTTCACAGGAAGCAAATGTGAACCATCTTTTTACTTACACTGAAGTAATTCAGTCCCCTTAGTTACAAAAATCTATTTCTTTATTACCCTGACCAGTAAAATGCTTAATAAGCTAAAGCCTGTTCTGTTTTATGGTTGGTTGGTTATTTTTTGTTTGGTTGTGGGTTTGTTTTGTTTTGTTGGGTTTTTTTTTCTGGTGTTTTTTTTTGCGTGTGTGTGGTTTTAGTTTGTTTGTTTGTTTCCTAAACTGTACATGATAAAGAAGATTTCAGTGTTTTCAAGTGTTACATGAGTATATTATTTTAGTTGACTAGGTGGCCAGGACATTTTAGGCATTTTGTAGGTGTATATGAAGTATCTTTAATTTCTGAAAACATTTCTTTTTTCTCTAGATTATATTTTACCATGTGGTAAAATTGAGAAAGTTCAATGTTTGATAGTTTGTATTATGTATCATTTGTATAAATCCATAAATGACAGCCAAGAAACTCTTGAGTTCTGAACTTACTTCTGAAGACAATTATGGTTAAGAATTTATAACAGTGCTCATACATTTCTTAGAACCTTTTTTGTATTGAGGACCTGAAGCAGGATTTCTGGAAAAATCTCATAATCACAAAAATCTTAACCGGTAACCTTTGTCACCTGTATCAATTTAATGGTTGCCTGAAATATACTCATAATCCGGTTAGGATTTTTGTGATAGGTAATGATATGCAACTGCTTCTGTCATAACTGTTTTTCAAAACCTTTTCCAAATGCATCATAGTTAATCGGGCCCTTCTGCTGAGCATACATCATCTTCATGCTCTCAGGATGATTCCTTCCATTTCCTCTGGTTCAGCTCTTGGGCTGGAGCTGCCAACCATGAGTAAGAGAAAACAATATTCAAAATATACTCACTGTTGATTGCAGGAGAAAGGGATGGGCATTTAGGTTAAGGCAAGGACTAGTAGCATGAGGGTTTGAGTTGGAGTTGGGAGAAATGAGTAATTTGATTTGCTTCATTAGTTTTGGATACCAGTCTTGGATGACTTTCTGAGTGATGTGCCCTAGTTTTTTTTTTGTCCTGCTCTGGCAGGGGGATTGGACTCTATGAGCTTCAAAGGTCCCTTCCAACCCCTAATATTCTGTGAATCTCTGAATGAGCTACAGGAGGAAATGTAGTGGTTACTAAGAACCAGATTCACCTCCCCCATGTGTATACCTGTGTGTGCCAAAACCTCAGAGCAGTCACTTCAGTTGTGTTTCACATGGTGGGAGCGGATGGTGACATCCCAGCAGGATGAAGCTCCCAAGAGCATCAGTACCTGAATCTGCCATTCTGGGTGTAAATTTGCAACAGCTGAATTCCTTCTCCTTACCAACCTCCTTTGGTGTGTCTGCCTGGCTTTGTGTTCTGTTTTAGTTAAAACAAAGGATGACAGATTAATACTAGGTTTTGGCGTGAGATTGAATATTGATCTCTGTAAGAAAGACAAAACACAGTATGTCAGGATCAGATCACACCCACCATGACTGGATTCTCAGAAAATTCAGAAGTCTTATAAATCTAAATTAGAATATTTTCTGGTAACATGAAAATCAAGTTATCTTAGCAAAATGGATTTTACATTTGAGGGTAGAATAAAATTGATTTTTACTTAGTGATGCATTAAACAGTTTTCACCTCACTTAGAAGCAATAGTTGTTTGACTTCCACCAGGACAAGCATGTCTGTACTGTGGTGGGCTGTCTGAATGGGGTTTTATTTTTTAAAATGTTTGGTTTCAGTTGTGGAACAGCTTTATGTCTTCCACTCCTTGAATCACCTGGAAACTGTCATCACTGTAGAGTTCTATATTCATATTTCTTGAGAAGGAAGCTACTTTTTCTTGGCCTGCAGGCAAAGGAGATTCCCCAGGACCACTGGATCAGTTGCTCTCAAAACATGGATGAGTCATTTAATCCCTTGGTGAACTGAACTTTTTTCCATTATTTCATTCCAGTTTCTCTTCTTTCTGTGTTGGTCCTTTGTGTCATTTGGATGTGCATGTGAGTGCCCTAGTGCTTGCCCTATTTTGATTTCAACATAGGCTGTTCTTAAAGTAGTTGCTCAGCTTGATATGTGAAGGTGGCCTACTTACTTGCTTGATGTACAGCAGATAAGGGCTTTTCCTTCCTTCACGTAGGTGCATTTAACATTTTGTGCTTCTCCTTTTCTGTGTGTATTAAATACTGTAAGAGCTGTTTGTTGTGCCAGGTCAAGTGCTTCACCCCAATTTCTGCTCAGTTTGTAATAACATAGTTGGTTAAGTGCAGAGGGGAGTTGTAGGGTGAAGATTTGGGTGACAGCAACGGGATTTGAAAGATTTTTGTTTTCCCCTCTAGTCCTTTCTAGGGAAAAATAAAATAAAAGGAAAATGTTAAATTGCACACTTCATTGTGTGTGGTTCTGTAGCCTAGCACTCCAAAACCCATTTTGTCAGTTCTTCTGCTTTTATAAAATCTCACTGGAGTCAAAGCTGCCTCTTACACAGTAGTGTTCACCCCAGAGGTCTCCAAAGGTGACACCTGAAAGAGTCTTCCCAAAACTCAGTCCTTTGCAGGCTCCCTAACACTGAAACAGTTCTCAGCTCCTTGCAGGGATGCATCGTTTTACAGCTACATTGTATTTTTTTCCAAAGAGGCATCATAGATCATTCACAACGTGTTTGTGTTTTAATTCCCTACATGTTGTATTGTGTTTTCTAAAATCGGATTAGTCATTGTTTTCTTAGGCTGCAACAATGTTGGCTCTTACAGCTACTTCGTTTCTAGACTGCTTAATCCTGGTCACTTTATGAAACTCCAGTGCTCCTTACTTTAAACAAAAGAACTGGAACAGGTTTTCTCATCTGTGACAAATAGCCTTGAATTTTTGCTTTTGTCATTTTAATTCAAAAGAGAAGCAATTCTGTCTTCTTATAGCAGGATATCCGTACCAGTTGCAAAGTTAACTTCAGAACTTTGCTTCCAGATCTGAGTGTAGAGTGAAGTGGGGTGAAAGCTGATGAAGAAAAATAATTTTTAAAAGGGAACAAAACATATTAGGGTTTTGCTTTAAGCAATAATGTAATTGTCCATTACAGCAAGTGACAAGCAGCTTTCTCAAGCACTCTGCCAGTCTGTTGTGGGTTTGTTTTGTTTTGTTGGGTTTTTTTTTCTGGTGTTTTTTTTTGCGTGTGTGTGGTTTTAGTTTGTTTGTTTGTTTCCTAAACTGTACATGATA